AAGACATTTAAGTCCCCTTGTCTTCCATTAACAAGATATAGAAATAAAATCAGACAAACAAAAGAATACAATACAAATTTCATCAATTACTAACATTCTCCCATGAAACAAGATCCCCAAAAAAGAAAACTTAAATTTCATTCAAAAAACGGCAGTTGATGATTAGCATCAAACAGAACATTTCATCAGTCCCCATCCAAATAGCCCAGACCACATTACTAACTGTAAGCTTAAAATAAAAAAAAATCTCTGAACAAGATTAAATTCTAAATTCAATCATTATTATGTGTTCAAAGATCAATCATTAGTTAAAGTTCTAGGTAAAAATATTCTGTGTTCTAGGTAAAAATATTCTATGTTCTAGGTAAAAACGTTAGTTTTAGTTTAAGTTGTAGGTTAGAGCATTATTGTTATTATAAGTTAAGCTTTAACTAATTATAGTAAGTTAAGCTACTATTTTACACAGAAGAATGCCTGGAAGCCTTCCTCCAATACAGCTGATATGACAACAGATTTGAGGGTATATGTATCCATAGGAGTTCTCAGATGAACTGTCCAAAAATAGATAAACTGAATGTTTTGTTTGCTAAAACTTTCAACTATAATGTAAACATGAAGACTGTCATGTTAATGCAGATTACAGATGAAACTTAAAACTAACAAAACACTTAATTCATTCATTTTCGGGCAATCAGTCTGAGAATACCTCTGGACGCACATGCTCTCATTTAACCCCTTCACGATGGGTGACACCTATAGGCGTGAAAACAAACCGCTCAAAATGTGGCGTGCGGCTGTACACCACAGTGGCATGCCAAAGCGCGGTGAGCCAGTGATTCGGCCTGATGTACCAAACTCCCGCGCTCAAAGTCAGCTCGCTGCCATTGATCGCCAGAGCATAGTTTTTTTTTTTTAGTTTTCTTCACCTGTCACCATTGGGTTAATAATTACAGAAAAAAACACTATACAGAAAATGTGGCCAATCACATTTTGAATATATAGGCCTAAATTTCATAAACCACAAAGCAAAGTAAGATTATTACACAGTCCCTTTCAGACTACTTGAAGTTCATGAAAGAAAAATACTCATTTTTAAAATATCATGCTTTGTCAAATACTGTAGTGTCAACTACATTTGGTTTGGGCAGGGATGCCAAAGAAACCTGTAAAATGCATGACAGAAATGGTCATATATCTCCACAAAAATGCTCAGTTGATTTCCTGACATCAGACATGCCATAAATTTTGTCAACAAACTTTAACATAAAAAAAACATATATGATATCAATGTCTTATTTTCAAATTTGTTTGATACATAAAACCTCATTTGGAAAAACATGTTTACACAGAATTGTACAAAATATCACAACCTTCTTTGGCCAATATAGGTCACTGAATAAAAACAGTTTAAAAATGGGGAAAAAAGAAGAAGAAAAAGAAAAAAAAACTTATATGCAACAATGTAGAACAGGCCCAGTGCATAGTCAAATTTCTCTTTCGAATATATCATCAATTTATTACTCTGATAACAAATGAATGTAATAATCATCCCACTAACACTAAATAAATACAAATACTTAAATCACCCAAAAAGCTATCTGAAATGGACAATGCAACCATTGCATAAGTTAACCAACTGGTACGCACACGGCATGATATGTATGTACCATTAGCGTATTAATTTTGCTTAAACTTAGGTGCCTCCACACAAGCTCAGTCACCAATGAGTCAATTACTAGTCCCTGATCTCACCTGTTTAGGCTCTTCCTGACTTCCAGAAAGATTTTTATCTTTTATGACTTAAAAATATCTAGAATATGTCCATAGAAGGGTAAGCCTCTACCAGCTTATGTAATTTTAGTCAATGAGCCTGAAGCAGCAACAAAAAATATGGCTTATTATATCATTACACTATCAACAAACCATAAACGTTAAACAAACAAACGTATAAAAATCATCTGTCTTGGACAAAATGATTGATGGTTTATATTTTAGATTAATAATTTGCTTTTATATCCTACATGAAAAAACCTGTTGATGAATGACATTGAGCACTGCCTTGACTTTTCTAGAAAAAAAAAATCCATCATTTCATGGTTTTCTTATCACTAAAATAAAATCTAAAAGTAAAATTTACATAAATATATATCTTTTTTTCTTTTTTTTTTTAAGTATAACGAACTACTCTAATCTTTTCAGAACTTGCTTGGTAATAATTCTATATTCAAAAAGGAAACATAATACTATTTATAAACTGGCATTCTTTTCACTAAGAAAATTAAGGTTATAACTGAGATTCCAACCATCTGATGAAAAAAATAAATGAAAACAAAAAAGTAAATAAATAAAAAGAAGCAAATGTATTATATACCTATTGAAATGGTCCCCCTCACTTTCCAATTGTGCTTCCTGCACCTCTATGCTTCTCCCCTTACACAAGGTAATATAGTGGATTATTCAAAACACTAACTAAATACTACATTTTCTTGTTATAATAACTTTAAAAATTATTCAGTAATCAAATATTTACTACATGTTCCAATTACCTATTACTATTAAAAAAATGCATGTCTGAAGATAAGAATTGTCAAAATACATATCTTGCAACCTCCAATTATATGTCAGTCCTGGCTGGTTCGATACATAACAATAAGTAATAACAAACTAACGGGTGTAAACCTTACTCATCTTTCTTCAAGTTGTCATCCCATTTTTAGCAGAAAGATTTTTTTTCACGTACAAAATACTGACACAAGAAAATTATTAGGTGGAAAAGTCATTGCTCTCTAAGTTGAATCATCACATTATTTTGTTTTTGCTGGCAGCTCAGCAATTATGAAATAAATATGGTGAGCAAATGCTCATACCATGGGCCTTGTCCCATTAAGCCAATGAGAACATATAATTCACTGATTAATTAATTCAGAGTCCATACAGACAAGATAACTTTTAATACCATTACTGGCTCTGATTATCAAAATGATTTCTAAAATAAAACTTTTTAAATCCACTTTGTTTGATGATGTATAATTATCAATCAATATATACACATTTTTAATCTTTTACCCTTACCAGTTTAAAATTAGGCCAGACTAATTATAAAGCACTTCAGCTGCCAAAACTAAATTTATCTTTCTTCAACTAATCTTGTCAGAACTGCTAATTTTGAATAAAGAGCATATATTAAAACATGAAATACATTTGATAGCGATTAGATTTATGTTTATAATAAACAATGCATTGCTGAATAAATATAACATATATCATCCACCTGGCATGATAAACATTTTAAAAGAAAGTAAATATAAGAATACTCTAATTTCAGTACTATCATTACAAAAGATGCAGGTGTTATTTAGCTCTCATAAAGGTAATTTGATATTGGTAACAACTATTAAATTTTATACCAATAATAGAGAATCTATCTCATGCATACATGCATTTCTATTTTTATTGTTCTCAACATTTGTCAAGCATGGTTAATAAATCAATGCTAACTTAAGACAGTTAATAGACATTAGCAACATCACAACAAGACATCACACAAACTGTCACAAACAATACAATCCACAAACCAACAGTCATTCAGTTACATGCACTTTGTATATATATATATATCTATTTACAAACAAATCATTCCATCTGAAAGAAGTATGTCAATCAGTACTTAGTATACAAAATTCCTTGTCAAGTTACATATTCATGGCCAAGTAATATAATCAGTATTAACAGCACATGGAAATACATACACAGATGTTCGGGAGCTTCTGGAGCTTGCTGAGCCAGGGTTGTTGACAGACCCTAAGGATCCTCGAAGACTTCCAGTTCCAGAGATTATCTGCCAACTTCCAACAGAACTAACAGACTCTTGCCTTGGTCTTGGGGCAGGTCGGCGCGGTACTGGAACTGCCATGGGACTGGTTGAGGCATGGGGCGGTTCCTGACGACCATTACCCCACGAACCTTGGTCTGATCCTGATCCCCCTGCACTTTCCCCACTAGAGTCACTGTGGCCATTACGAACTCTTGGGCACACAAAAGGTTTACTACTATCTGACAGAGACGAATTTGAACTACCATTCTTAAGTGACCCACTTGAAGTCCGTGAGACCCCCCCCATTGGGTTCCCTTGACGCACTGATAATTTCCCTTCATTAGTAGCTCCTGTTACATCAGTCTCCCTGAAAGATGACCTCCCAAAACCACCTCTATTGGTAGTGGAAGAGGTCGAAGAAGCACGACTTAAGTTGGGTGACATGTCATCAAAGTCCAGGTCTCCAGTAAAGCTACCATATGGCCACGTCAAATGTGCACTGTAACTGTCATAACTTTCTCCAGTTTTCCCAGCTTTAAAATATACAGGTGGTGCATGATGTGAAGAACGATTAGATGAACAAGATGAGTTTAAAGAGTTAGAAGATCCTGCAGAACTCAGCCCATCTGCATCCAGCAGAACACATTCCATCCGGTCAGAACTCGTACTGTCACTTGAGAGGTGACGCCTGGAATGACAGTGGTACAAAGGTAACACAAAGAACAACATAAAACATAAAAAATCAAAAGAAAATAAGTTTTTGTATTTATAGATAGTGATCAAACATATGCATGTACAGTTGACAACCCCACATAAAAGATCATCAAAACATATATATATATACATGATTGAAGAAAAGAAAAAAAAGCTTGAAAAGCACAAAATACAGGTACATCGATGTATAAAGTTCACATTCATCAAAACAATAAACAATGAAGCACAAGTTATAAAGAAGCAAATAACCTATCAATTTTGAATTAGTAAATAAGTTTCCCAGCAAAGAACTTATCATAGAGTAAAAAGTATAGAAAGGCCTTTATCAATTTCTGTACAACACAAGTTATTCTTCAATCATAATAAAACAGATTTCATAACAATAAATCCCAAATTTATAAAATCAACTTCATTCCACTGCCTATATACAGCATAGCATTATTACATACAACAAGCTATATATAAAGAAACTATCCTTTCTTTCCTTCAATCTGTGACTACTATGCATCTAACTCAATGTCAGTGGGTGGCAAGACTACAATACCATGCCCACTGTAATAAAAGTTTATCTGTTGTCTTTACACATGGATGGCTCTACAAGTGTTTAGTCACCAAGGACTCAGCTATTAGTTATGCATATCTCATCTGTTTACTCTTTTCCTTCATTTTTTGAAAGCTTCATTTCTATTACTTTAGTGTCTTTGATGTTATTAATATTTTAATAACAACTTAATAATCATAATATCAGTAAGAATGATAACAATGTCAATATTATTAATATTGGAAAGAAAAACTCATTTTCCCGCCAATTCAAGGAATGGGGAATTCAGGATCGGCCACTAGGACCAACTGCAGGCTGAGCACACAGGGAGCCATTTGTATGTAACAAAACTCACTAAAATCTAAAGGGGCCAGTACATAAACCTGCTGACATTGGGTTAAGGGGCCCTGCCCACAAATATCATCTGAATGAATGGCCAGATTAGTATGGCACTTAGCATGGTCTGTTTTACACCCTGCTCTAATTCTTGGCACTACAGTCTATTACCAAATGTGCTTAATACAACATCACTGGGAAAATGCTGTGCTCATTTTAGAATTTTTTGTGAAATATGGCTCTGCTAGTGCTTAGCCACAATGGAGTCAAGTAGTAGTAGTAGACCTTGTGACCTTACCTGACTTATTATAGGCATTATAATTACTATAATGTTATTGACATTAGTTGTGGCAATATATGAAAAAAATATAATATTTTCCAAAATCAAGGAAAAGGGTAAACAGGTGAGGCAAGTAGTACTTATACTTGGGTCACTGATGACTTGTGTAAAAACCATTAATAAAGTAAACTCAGAGTGGGTATGGCATGTATGTCCATGCCATCCCCATCAGTTTTGGATTAATCATGGCATTTACTCTTGACTTTTAGCTAAAAAAGCAAGAGAGAGAGAGAGAGAGAGAGAGAGAGAGAGAGAGAGAGAGAGAGAGAGAGAGAGAGAGAGAGAGAGAGAAGAAGAGAGAGAGAGAGAGAGAGAGAGAGAGAGAGAGAGAGAGAGAGAGAGAGAGAGAGAGAGAGAGAGAGAGAGAGAGAGAGAGAGAGAGACAGAGGGTGTGGAGAGTGAAGAGGAAGGGATAAGGGAGCAAGTGAGGAAGGTGGTAGGTAGAGAGACAGAGAGAGACAGAGGGACAGAGATAGAGACAGAGGGTGTGAAGAGTGAAGAGGAAGGGATGAGGGAGCGAGTGACTAAGATGGTAATGAACAAGGGAAGTCACAACTATGTTATGCTTAAACTTTAGCCTTTCCGACTGATGGATACTAAATTATAAAAGTCAAGAGTAAATGCTACAATTAAGTACATTTAGTAATACACTTTAGTATAAAAAATTTGGGCAGGGTGTAAAACAGACCATACTAAATTGTCATCTGACTGTTTATCTGTAAGAGATTTGTGGATTTGTGAAAAACAATGGATCAAGGCCCCTGAAATGAATGGTAGTAGTCCAATTTACAACTGTGATTACAAGACACTGTACTGAACAATTTTAAAATGCATCTTTTCTCTTCTTTAAAATTTCTTACAAAAATGGAAGAAAATAAAACTAATGAGAAATCCAAATGCCAAGAATCACAGCAATGAATATGAACAATGTTTTGGTAAGCCTCATGATAATGAAAAAAATAATGACAATAACAATGCTGCTGTTGTTGTGACAATCAAGATTATGAAGATGATGATGATGATGATGATGATGATGATGATGATGATGATGATGATGATGATGATGATGATGATGATGAAGATGATGATGAAGATGATGAAGATGATAAAGATGATAAAGATGATAAAGATGATATTGATGATGATGATGATGATGACAGTAAAGGTGACAATGACAATGAAAATGATGATGACGATGACAGGGTGGTGAAGGACTTGGTTATAATGACATATTCAATGGCTTGACCACTCTTCTCAAAATACTGTTCATGTAGTTTTCCCCGAAACAAGGAGAAATTTAACAATGACAGCATTCACATGAAGTATGAGATTACACAAATATATATGCATTTTTACAGTACAAACCCACTTGCAGGTTCACAAACTTTAGTCACCCCAATGCATTAATCTTTTAGTATGAGTATGTGCTCTATAAATGTCTAATAATAATAGTAATAATAATAAATAACAACTAAAGAAATAATGACATGAATGTACAACCTAGGTTACTTGAACCTGAACCACGTTTTTCTGTATAACGGTACTGTGCAGTAAACTCATGAGAGTACATGATACAAGTCTCTGTATGAGAATGTAGTTTCCTATTTGTAAAAGATCAATATTTTGATCAAAGTTTCAGTTTGATTTTCCTATTATTTCTTCTGTAATTCTGTGTGAATATTGAACTGCTTCCTCCTACTGCAACTGAAGCTGTAGTAGGATAAAATGCTGTCCATGTAGTAGTTTGTAGAATAGTTGACTGATGTCCTAACAGCCACTTCAGGAACAATGAACAAGGAAACCAATTAATGGATAAATCAGTGAACAACAATATTCTAGTAGTTGGTGTTTGGTTGGCGATATCAGAGCAACGATGGGAAAAGGGAAATTATCTTTTTCTTTCAATTAGACTTTCCACTGCAGCTCGAAACATCAAATGAGTATTTTTCTAAGTTTATATTCATACACAGTTTTTTTTTTTTTTTTTCATTTAAATTTAAAGTACTCTCTTATAACAGAAAACACTTTTGAGACTCAGTCTTGCTTATACTTTTAAGTGTTCTTCAGTTTTCAATTTCCAGTCAATATATGCAATGGCATATTTTCAAACATTTCTACCCTAAAGTGAGTCTTAAGGCCTCCCTTATGAATGTACAATATCTTTAAAAAGTTTGCTAAAAGTTACTATAAATAATATGGCATGCAATAAATATAATAAAATATTTGACTGAAGAAAACCACAATAACATGAATAACTATAAATGCCACAATACACAAATGTGAACACTTTTGCATCATTCAAGTACTTTCAATTCCACATATTATAAAATTATCTGTAGATTTAATCCTGGCTTTCTGAAACATCAACAATTCCTTTGGTTGACTCTCACAACATTTAGCTTATTGTCATATTTGAATTGCAGTCATAAACTACATCTCTTTCCAGTCCACATAAGAAGTCCAGTTACTTTTAACAGAAATTTATTAGCATGATGCAAATAAAAAAACTCAATTTGGCAGTCTCAACTGGATGCAAGAACTAGAGAGAGAGAGAGAGAGAGAGAGAGAGAGAGAGAGAGAGAGAGAGAGAGAGAGAGAGAGAGAGAGAGAGAGAGAGAAGAGAGAGAGAGAGAGAGAGAGAGAGAGAGAGAGAGAGAGAGAGAGAGAGAGAGAGAGAGAGAGAGAGAGAGAGAGAGAGGGGGGGGGGGGGGATGGGAGAGAATGGGAGGGGATGGGAGGGAGCAGGAGGGAGTGGGCAGGAAATGGAGGGGACATGAGAGGGGGGGGGAGGGAGGGAGAGAGGGAGGGAGAGAGAGAGAGAGAGAGAGAGAGAGAAGAGAGAGAGAGAGAGAGAGAGAGAGAGAGAGAGAGAGAGAGAGAGAGAGAGAGAGAGAGAGAGAGAGAGAGAGAGAGAGAGAGAGAGAGAGAGAGAGAGAGAGAGAGAGAGAGAGAGAGAGAGAGAGAGAGAGAGAGAGAGAGAGAGAGAGAGATGATGTGAGAGAGAGAGAGAGAGAGAGAGAGAGAGAGAGAGAGAGAGAGAGAGAGAGAGAGAGAGAGAGAGAGAGAGAGAGAGAGAGAGAGAGTATGTGAGAGAGAGAAAGAGAAAGAGAGAGAGTATGTGAGAGAGAGAGAGAGAGAGAGAGAGAGAGAGAGAGAGAGAGAGAGAGAGAGAGAGAGAGAGAGAGAGAGAGAGAGAAGAGAGAGAAAGAGAAAGTGAGAGAAAGTGAGAGAAAGTGTGAGAAAGTGAGAGAAAGTGAGAGAGAGAGAGAGAGAGAGAGAGAGAGAGAGAGAGAGAGAGAGAGAGAGAGAGAGAGAGAGAGAGAGAGAGAGAGAGAGAGAGAGAGAGAGAGAAAGTGAGAGAGAGCGAGAGAGAGAGAGCACGGGAGAGAGCGAGCGAGCATGGGAGAGAGTGAGGGAGCACGGGAGAGAGAGAGAGAGCACGGGAGAGAAAGAGAGAGCATGGGAGAGAAAGAGAGAGCACGGGAGAGAATTAGAGAGAATGGGACAGAATTAGAGAGCACGGGAGAGAAAGAGAGCACACTAGAGAGACAGCATGGGAGAGAAAGAGAGAGCACAGGAGAAAGAGAAGGAGAGAGAGAGCATGTGAGAAAAAAGAGAAAGAGAGAGAGCATGTAAGAGAAAGAGAAAGAGAGAGAGTATGTGAGAGAGAGAGAAAGAGAAAGAGAAAGAGAGAGGGAGGGGGAGAGGGGGAGAGGGGGATAGGGAGGGAGAGGGGAGAGAGAGGGAGAGAGGGAAAGAGGAGAGAGAGTAGAGAGAGGGAAAGAGGAGAGAGAGGAGAGAGAGGAGAGAGAGGAGAGAGAGGAGAGAGAGGAGAGAGAGGAGAGAGAGGAGAGAGAGGAGAGAGAGAGAGAGAGAGAGAGAGAGAGAGAGAGAGAGAGAGAGAGAGAGAGAGAGAGAGAGAGAGAGAGAGAGAGAGAGAGAGAGAGAGAGAGAGAGAGAGAGAGAGATTGATTCAATGTGTTTCTGTTACTGTGTGGGTATATATTTCTATTTGCATTTTCATGTGTTTATGTTTTTGTTTCAGTCTGTTTCCTCATATTTGTGTTTCTATGTACATCCATACTTTCAAGTGTGTGTGTACATTTCCATGTATGTGAGGGTTTCTGTGTGCAAGTGTTAACTTGTGGTTTCATGTGTGTTTCCAAATGTGTCTTTATTCCCATATGAGTTTTTGTGTTTCCATATGGGTCTGTATTCAGTATATGTGGTACTTCCATTTGAGTGTTTCTGAATACTGTGTTAACTTGCTTGTAGTTTCACAAAAGTGTGCTTGTATGTGCCTGCAAGTCCTTGTGTTTGAGCATATGCCTATATGTATGTTGTTTTTATATATTTGTATACAAGTGTGCTTATGTGTGTGACCACACTTGCACATCTGTTACACACACTGTAAGTATGTACCCTTGTGCATATACATGCATTTGAGAACAAATGTGCATATGTGCATTTTTTAAATATAAGAATTTATGCTGCATGATTCAGACCACACAGTTTATTTAAACACCTTGATATAATCTTAATAAAAGGTTAACTACAGAGTATCTTATCCAAGTTGTATTAGAATAATCAGCTACTCTTAACCCAAACATATTCTTGACTCCTCCCGTTCCTTAAACCCTTAAAGCATTCCTTTAACTCTCCAACTTGAAATAAACCATAAACAATCTTAGTATGAAATTCCCTCATGATACCAAAAGAAAGTTTTTAAAAATATATAATAAAAACTGACATAAAAAGAATACTTACTTTCTCCCAACCGAAAAGTCGTCAGACGTGATAAATTTTAGGAAGTAGAAACAAAAGAAGAAAATTTCCTCTCCTTTACTGAGTCGGTCCTGAAGGTCGTGTCCAAAAGCCATCCAGTCGTATGCGATGGTAAGATAGAGTATCTGTCAAGAGGTAATTGCACGTCTAAGATTTTATCCTCTGGTCATATGACAATCATTCACACATTAACTTTAAAATAGGGGGAGCAATTGATATCACAGAACGAAAAAAAAAAAAAAATACTACAACTAATTTAGTCAGTGTTCAGGAATAAAGAAATCAATGTTTTATTTTCTTTTTTTTTTCCCCCTCATGATACCTATCTCAATTTCATTTTCAAAAAGGAAGAATTCAGAAAACTCTACTGACTTACATAAATAAGCCTGCTACATAAAAAAAAGACAGAACTCAAAATCAAACAAAGGAGATCTGCATAAATTACTAAATAATAGCCTTAACCCAAAGAACAGAGTTCATGGTGAAAAAAGGCTGAAAAAGATAAGAATGAAAATGAAAAATTCACACTGCAAAAGATGTATCTAATGCATTTCAATTATATATATTTCTCCATCCCATCACAAATACATGTAATTTTTAAAAATATAATTAAAGCACATCATATACAGCTCTTGCATTAATACCTTTACCAAATAGCCTACATTCTAGACTTTAACAGTAGGAAAAAGTGGGCCATAAGCATGGCTTTCCTAATATCCTCATCACTGTGCGTATATGTGAGGAAGGGTGACTTATAGCTCCTCCAGTTCAAACAACCATCTAGACATACCCAATTTTTCAACAACAGTCCAGTTTTGTATACAGATTTGGTCTATTAGCAGAAATTTTCCACTAGTGTCAGTGGGTTTAGAGAACTGTCTACCTTAACTATGGTTAAATTTGCAAATCTGACAAAAATGCAAATTTTTAAGGCATGAACTTTGTCGTATACACTTGAGAAGCACCCCTACCCCTATTTAGTTCTACATTATCAAAGAACAGGGAATGTTTTATGATAAAATCATGAATATATATCCCCTAGCTTTTTTTTATCCTTAATACTGTGTGTATTAACTTATATTGAAAGTGTGCATTTATTATTGCTTTAACCCATTGCCGCCAGGGAAAATGAATAAAAAATGGGGAAAATGCTGTGTTTTTTAAATTTTTATGAAATGTCTCTGTGCATAGATGGCTCTGATAGTGCTTAGCCACAAAGGAGTCAATTAGTAGATCTTGTGACCTTACCTGATTTCACCTTTCCTTGAATTGGTGGGAAAAACATATTTTTTACTAGTGCTATAAATATTGATGGTGCCATTTTTATTATAAGCATTATAATTATAATTTTATAAACAGTAGTAACAGCAAAATAAGAAAACGTAAAATATTTTTGTAAATCAATCAAAAGGGTGAATGGGTGAGAAAGGCAGCACTCATAACTGGCTCATTGGTGACTTAGTACAAGTGTAGCCATCTATGAGTAAGAACAATTAAACAAGTAAACTCACAGTGAGCATGGCATGTATGTACATGCCATGCCCATTGGTAATGGGTTAACAAATCATCATGATATTCAGGAGCTACAGCCCCTGAAAAGTGGGGTTAAAGCCTTGCTTTAGTCTCAAATACTGGAAAATTGTGTAAGCCACAGGGAAATGCACACAATCATTGTCATTGATATGTTGTCATTTCTGATTGATGAGATAATAGGACTTATCTCATTCCATGCAGAAAGATAATGGTCAGGACTGCCAATAATTTTTTTTCAGAATTTTTATAGATTTTTTTCATATTTAAGAAAATATAATAAAAAAAATATATAAACAAAGAAAATATATAGTTTTGGTACTATCTTTAAAGAGCAAGATTTGTGATGTTTTAAAAGCAAGAAGAATAGATGAGTGTAAGATGAAAAGCCTAGTTTAAGAAAGTTAAAAAACAGACATTGCTCTTCAGCAGATAATTAA